ATCCCAACGATTCTGATCAAGCGAGCAGCGACGCCCAGATCATCGTCGGCTACCATCTCGACAACGTTCACCAGCTCTTCTTCTTTGACGTCAACAACGTGGCCTAGCTTGATTGATTATGCATGCTAGCTGTTTGATTAATTATAAATCTTGTAATATATATTCTGCTGGTGCTCTATATTGCTAGCTAGTTGGTTAACTAATCTCTTGGATCGTTATTATATTATAATGCTCGCGTCCATAGAGATTGAGAGACTAGTAACTGTAGGTTGCATTCAGTGATAATGTACGTTGCATTAACTTATATCGCATGCAATATATTCAGTTGCAGCTCTTTAATTAAGTGGTTGTTAAGGTTATACACGTTAGTTGTTAAACTTACAAGTTGCTTCTTAAGGTTACGCGTTGATTGTTAAAGTTACGGTTTAGTTGTTAAGGTTAAGCGTTGGTTGTTAAGGTTATACACGTTGGTTGTTAAGGTTACGGGTTTCTTGTTAAGGTTACGCGTTGGTTGTTAAGGTTACGGGTTGCTTGTTAAGGTTACGCGTTGATTGTTAACGTTACAGATTGGTTGTTAAGGTTACATGAGTTAACCTTAATAACTAACCCGTAACTTTAACAATCAACGCGTAACTTTAACAAGCAACCTGTAACCTTAACAACCAATGCGTATAACTTTAACAACCAATGCGTAACATTAACAAGCAACCCATAACCTTAACAACCAATATGTAAAATCGCATGACTTTTGAAAATTTCATGAAAATTAAAGGTAAAATACTATTACAAAATCCAACTCACTCCAACCACCTAAAACAAATGTATACATCATTGTAGAAGTTCAAAAAATTGTAATTGCTTTTTATTTTTATGAATTATTATAGTAGAAGTCCAAAAAATTAAAGTTTTTTTATTTCCTTCTTTTTTTAGTTTTATGAAGGTTTTACGGGTTGGTTGTGAAGGTTACAGGTTTGATTGTTAAGGTTACACGTCGATTGTGAATGTTACACATTGATTTTTAAGGTTACACGTTGGTTGTTAAGCTTAACCTTACCAACCAACGCGTATAACCTTGACAAACAACGCTTAACCTTAACAACCAACCCGTAACCTTAACAACCAACCCATAACCTTAACAATCAACGTGTAACCTTAACAAGCAACTCGTAACCTTAACAACCAACGCGTAACCTTAACAAACAACCCATAACCTTAACAACCAATGCGTAACCTTAACAAGCAACCCGTAACCTTAACAACCAACGCTTAACCTTAAAAAACAATCATAACCTTAACAATCAACGCGTAACCTTAAGAAAAAACTCGTAAGCTTAACAACCAACACGTATAACATTAACAACCACTTAATTAAAGAGCTGCAACTGGATATATTGCATGCGATATAAGTTAATGCAACGTACACTGTCACTGAATGCAACCTACAGTTACTAGTCTCTCAATCTCTATGGACGCGAGCATTATAATATAATAATGATCTAAGAGATTAGTTAACCAACTAGCTAGCAGTATAGAGCACCAGCAGAATATATATTACAAGATTTATAATTAATCAAACAGCTAGCATGCATAATCAATCAAGCTAGGCCACGTTGCTGACGTCAAAGAAGAAGAGCCGGTGAACGCTGTCGAGATGGTAGCCGACAATGATCTGGGCGTCGCTGCTCGCTTGATTAGAACCGTCGGGACCGGCTCCGATTCCCGGTGGTGTTTCTCCTTGATCAGCTCCCCTCGCGAATCCGTCAAGCTTCTCGGCGTTGCTCAGCTCGGAAATCCTCTTGCCCCTGAAGAGGTCGACGGACTTGAGGTTGTGTTGGGAGAGGACCCCCTCTGCTACCGCTAGCTTCTAGGACTTCTTCTCCTTCTTCTTCATGCTATTTTGCTAGCTGTGGTAGTTCTTCCGATAAAGAATTCATTTGCCTGGCACCCGCCTCCTCGGCTCCCTCCCCTCCGACCTCTTCCTCCCACTTTACCTCTGTCACCTCGACCTCTCCGCCAACCTCCTCAACGACTCCCTCCTCTCCTCTCTCCCCTCCTCCGCCGAGCTCAGGGTCCTTTCTCTCGCCTCCAACGAGATCTCCGGCGAGCTCCGCGGGAGGAGGTGATCAATGCCCATAAGAGAGATAAAGGGTATGATAGTCTTTAACTGTGTAAAATTCTTGGGCTTTGTGTTTTGGGGGCTCAGTGCATAGTTATTACGAATTTGGGGGTTATGAGGGCGTTGAAAAAGTCTTGGGGGTGGGAAGCGCGTTTTTTTGTGTTTCGGGGGTTGAAAGCATTTTTCCCAAATTTAAAATTCGAAGAGGGATGTACATGCAATTATGTAGCACGTTGTGAAAAAGGTAAATAAAACAAAATTGCTAAGTTTGGGAAGGAGCGACAAGAAAATAAAATCCCTAGCTAGTTTCTTCTTACATAAAAATTCAAACAATTCTCAACTTATTTAGCTAGAGGACAACACAAATACAAGGAATATTCTTCAAGAAATCACATCACATCCTACATATGAACACCTATGAGAAACGAAGTATGTAAAATTTTTAAAAAGGGATGAACTGAACTCTCATATGCGTCTCATATGAATGTCCTCCACTACTATGACCAGATTCTTAGTGTAGAGGAAAAGATTTGCATCATTGAGATGCAAAGAGAGCAAAGACATTGGAAACTTAAGCTTTGAGATCTTTGATTAAATGACGAAATGAATTGCTTATTGTGAGGATTAATTCATTTATGTGACCGACTCATGGAAGTCCTCAAGGATTTGGTCAAGTTCGAAGGCCAAATCAGAGGGAAACTTGATTTGGGCCATAAGTTGACTGGCCCAGCCTGGCCCATATTATGTGACTATACCAATTTTCAATATTATAATAACGTGTCACTTAAATGTCACGAGCAAGAAAATTATAAGATGAATAGCCCCACTTAAAAGTAAATTTTTTCAATATTAAATAATCTAGTTCTATAGGTGTGAATAGGCCACTTGAGTGAGTTTTTTTTTTTTTTTTGGGATTCTTCTAACATTTATTATTCTATTTCTTGTAAAATGTTTCAATTAATTAACTAACACCCTCAAAAAGAGTAAAACATCACTTAGGGTGGGTATCCGGACTAATAAGCTATAAGAGATCAACCTGCAATTGGGTGACAGTACAAATAGTCTTATCTATAATTGGTTGATGATACAGCTTGTCTATCCGCAATTAACCCTACAATTTACCATCATGTCAAGGAGTTACACCAGGATATTAGATATATGACATGAGCGTGGATTCGAAAGGAATGATCCTAGAGAACAATCGCAATAACAGAGATATTTTTATTTATTTTTCCCTCATTCACAGAAATAGATAGTACTACGTACGTAGAGAGATGAACACAAAATCATATAATGTTATAATAAAACAATGCAATAAACACATCCAACTCTTCATAGGAGACAAATGAATCTGAACTATTGGTACCAACTAAAACAAGAGCAAATATTGATCATGCAGTTTTGTCATCATAGCCTTACGTCAAGGATATACACATGAATAGATGACATGGGCAGGGATATGTGATCCTAGAGAACAATAGCCCATAAAAATTTGACGTGATGATTGATCTCCCCATCAAAGGACCACCAATTTCAGAGCAAAATGATGGAATGAAGCAGACAATATCAAGGTGATTCCAGCTAAGAATTTTGTGGGAGAAAGACCACATTATACCCTACTTCATATATAATTAAGATTGCTCATAAATGGAAATACCCACTGGTCATATTGTTAGGTCACATGTATGAAAAAGCTTGCAATTTTTAGGAATGGGCTGGTGCGTTATCACGGGATCCATAACCCTCCATCTATTTTATTTTATATAATGGTTATATATATAATGTGGTATGGGTTATTTTTGATTGCGTTAGATTCAGTGGACCACATTGAAATTTCAGTGATCCCATGGACCAAATGATGGTGGAGATATGCCATTATTCCTTTGATGCAATCATTCCGTCAAACTCCCTTGATTGTGACGCGTATAATTTTTCGTATGTTATACTTTTTTTTTCACTCATTTTTTGAGAAAAACATATAAGAAGCATGTGTTTGTCTAATGTTCATAAAGTTCAGTTGATATATGGAAACAGTTTTATGTAATTTCACAACTAAAATATACTTAGGATTTAAAACAGCGATATCACCCTTTGCGGAATTTGGCGGTCTCTAGGCGCACGTTAGCAGGCGATTTTTGCCTTGCTAACATACGCCCCGCCTTGAAAGATGACGAAAAAAAGAGAAACTCTGGGAAAAAAATCTTCAGTATAGGATTACGATCTGGTTCTCAATCCTTGGAGGATAATTCAGCTCCAAGAATTGATGAAGATGATGTAATCTTGAGCTCTGAGATCATGGGGTCAACTGGACCTTGTGGTGAGAAGAAGGAGAAATCATTGAATGAGATTCTCAGATCTGATAGTTTTCTTGTTGATTCTCATCCTCAGATTAGCTCTTAGATGTTTGGATCTCAAATTCTTCAAGTTAGGAATCTCTCTTGCAATGAAGTGATCGCTGGAGATCAAGAAACTATGCTCAGTGGATCTCCGATCTTGAACTCTGGTGCAAGTGGATTTGGTAAGATTTCTTGGGCTGATAAGGTTGATTTTGAATCATCTTGTCAGCAACCAATTTTGATTTCGACTAGATCTTTTGATCCAAATCCACAAAAAAAGTTTACAGAAAGAGAAATCCGTTCTTGATTCTACTATTGTTATATTAAATTCAAATGAGATGAATGATTTTGCTGTTAAAACTAAGAATTTGAATTCAGTTCTTGAATCTGTTTCTTTAGATCATGATAAGAATAAGATTGATAACAAAATTGTGTCTCCTCTGGAACCAGAAATCTTTGAGCCAGTTCAAAACAGAGCTGATAAGAAAAGTTGATCTAGCCTTTTTGTTGACAATAGGAAAACAGGATGTTGTATGAGCTTGAATTTTATGACTCCTGAGAATAAAGATTTTGTGACTTTTAGTGGAGAGGAATGGAATGAAGGCAATTCAAATTTGCAATTTTCTTTAATTGGCCAAGTATTGGGATTGAATCTAAAGTTTAAGGTCATGGAAACTTATGTTCAAAAAGTCTGGACTCATTGGTCAGTGCCTAAAGTGTGTCTGCTTAAACCAGGTTTATTCTTGTTCAAATTCAAGAGCAAAGAGGAAATGGAGGATATCTTAGTGAATGGCCTCTGGTTCTTTGTTTCTAGGCCCCTCTTGTTGAAAGTTTGGTCTAATGATGAAGATATAGAAAAGATAAATGATAATGTCTACCCTCTGCGGATTCAGCTGCCTGGACTGATATTAAACTTGTGGAGCTCAAATGCTATAAGTAAAATAGCTAGTCAAGTTGGGAGGCCAATTGCCACTGATAAGCTAACTGCTAATAAGCAAAAATTGGCCTATGCTAGGGTTTTAGTTGAAGTTCATATGCCTTCACCTCTTCCTGATATAATTCCTATTCATGGTCCAAATGGAAAAAATTTTAATCAAAAGGAGATTTATGAGCTTAAGCCTAAATGGTGTAATAGTTGCAAACTTGTGGGGGGCATGATACAATTTTCTGTAAGAGATACCCCATGACTAAAAGATGGGTCCAAAAACCAAAGCCTGTGAATCAACCTGACCCTAGAAATCTGGGGATTAAACCTGTCTTGAATGGAGAACATGCTCTTCAGGGAGATATCCTCAGGATGAAGAGCCTATAGCTTTCAGGTGGAGATAATGTTGTGCAAATACAGAAACATATTTCTGGGGTTTCAATTGGAGGGATAAATTCACAAACTAAGGAGTGCTCTCCAATAAATAAACTTGTGCATGTTGTACGTGCTCAAGATCATGTTCAAGGAGATATCCTCAAGTTGAAGGGAATACAATCTGGCCCGTCAGATGATAGTATGAAAATGATTCAATGCAATCTACCAGGTCGGAAAAGTTTGAAGCCTAATAATTTGGATTTTGTGCACGTTGTGCATGTTCAAGATCAGTTTTCTAAAGTATCACCTAGGGGGATATATTCACAGGCTGAAGAAAATCTGTGCACTTTAGTAAATAATCTAGTGCATGTTGTGCATATTCAGGACCATAGAACTTGGAATTCTATAGTAAGCAAAAGTTCCCAAGCTAGCAGGAATTCGGCAGATATGCAAAAATCTGGAGTTAAGAGCTTTCCAACACTTGGAAACTCTTTTGATCATCTCAACAACCTGGTGGATGACCCCTCAAATATGAATGGAGGGGATGTTCTAAAAATATGAATTTCTCTTTTTGAAATATTAGTGGGCTAAACAAGTCCTCTAAGCAACATTTGGTTAAGCTCTACATTCAGCAGCATCATGTTTTCGCCAAAAGTTGGTTTTGCTGTGGAATTCATTATATCTTCGTTCGATTATAACAAATTCAAAGAAATAGTCTTTTTATAAGACCTCTTTTACACAACAAAAAAAAATTACAACTCTTGAGAAAATAACATAGAAGTCGTTTATCGAATCCTATTTTGTGGGACTTTGCCTGTGCCGGGAGCGCTTTGACTCGTGGACCGCCGAATCACAGATCGTGAAGGGGGCTTAATGATTCTTCCTTCGTTTATCGAAGTGAGAATTTAAAACGAAGATCTTATCAAAGTAAGATAGTCGTTCTTCTTAAGATCAAGTCAAAGCTCGAATCTCAAGGGAATCCAAGAACAATAGTGTTTGCTCTCTCTCTCTCTCTCTCTCTCTCTCTCTCTCTCTCTCTCTCTCTCTCTGCTCTAAATTGCTCAATAATGTGCTCTGATCCGCCCCCTCAAGAATCAATCTCAGGGGGGTATTTATAGCCTCCAGGAACAGTTAGAGAAAATATGCTCGCGAGACAGCATTTGCTGTCTCGGCTGCCGAGACAGTGTTTGCTGTCTCGGCGGCCGAGACAGAGTTTACTGTCTCGGGTTCCGAGACAGTAAACACAAAGTAAGATAGTCGTTCTTCTTAAGATCAAGTCAAAGCTCGAATCTCAAGGGAATCCAAGAACAATAGTGTTTGCTCTCTCTCTCTCTCTCTCTCTCTCTCTCTCTCTCTCTCTCTCTCTCTCTCTCTGCTCTAAATTGCTCAATAATGTGCTCTGATCCGCCCCCTCAAGAATCAATCTCAGGGGGGTATTTATAGCCTCCAGGAACAGTTAGAGAAAATATGCTCGCGAGACAGCATTTGCTGTCTCGGCTGGGGGGGCACAAACTGTGCTTCCGAGACAGTAAACACTGTCTCGGGTTCCGAGACAGTAAACACTGTCTCGGAAATCTTCAACTGCCCGACAGTTTTCTTATAACTGTCTTCCCACGTTTTAAAACTCTGTTATCTTGGCAGTTGTCAACGTGATTCTCGCCCACGAAGTTCCCCATGTTCTTTGGCATTTAATGGATACGTGGGTGGCAGTTATTTAACCATTTTCAATCATCTCAAAGCTGTCTCGCTGGCGAGACAGTAAACACTGTCTCGCTGCGAGATAGTAAACACTGTCTCGCTGCGAGAGAGGCTGTCTCGGAAATCATTCACTGCCCGATCAGTTTTCTATAACTGTCTTCCACGTATTTAAAAAACTCTGTTAATCTTGGCAGTTGTCACGTGAATTCTCGGCCCACGAAGTCCGGCACTTGTTCTTTGCAGTTTAATGATACGTGGGTGGCAGTTATTTACCATTTTCAAATCATCTGCAAAGTGTCTGGCGCTGGCGAGAACAGTAACAGCTGTCTCACTGCGACGACAGTAAACACTATTCGGCATGCGAGTATAGTAAAGGGTTATTCTTAAGAATATTCTGAATGATATTCTCCAGAAACTTCCTGTTGAGATTAGGAAATAGTTTAGACTCGTATACCTATTGGAGTATTCTGGTCTCTTTTTTGTTGGTAGAGGTGAACCCGATAATGGAGAGGAAGAATTTTATATTCTATCTCCTGGTCTCTTTTTTTGTTGGTAGAGATAAACCTAAAAATCGGAGAGGAAAAATTTTATATTCTATCTCCAGGTCTCTTTTTTGTTGGTAGAGATAAACCCAAAAATCGGAGAGGAAGAATTTTATATTCTATCTCCTGGTGCAAAAGAAACTCAAAATGGGATCTCCACTTAGAGGATCTGGACTGGTTTGAATAATCCTGACTGTCATAAGGTTTGATTATTCAATTCAAAAGTAGACCTCTCGTTCGTGAAATGAATCGAAAGGGGATTTTGGCTGTGGTCCTAACTGTAGTAAGGTTTGACCAAGTAGGAGTTTTGAGACGATCCTAACTGTTTAAAGGTTTAATCGTTCAATTTGTGGACCTCTCGTTCATGAAAGGAATCGAGAGGGGATTTTGGCTCTGGTCCTAACTGTTTAAAGGTTTGACCAAATGAGAATTCGAGACGATCCTAACTATTTAAAGGTTTGATCGTTCAATTTGTGGACCTCTCGTTCATGGAAGGAATCGAGAGGGGATTTTGGCTTTGGTCCTAACTGTTTAAAGGTTTGACCAAATGGGGACTTGAGACGATCCTAACTGTTTAAAGGTTTGATCTTTTAATTTGTGGACCTCTCGTTCATGGAAGGAATCGAGAGGGAATTTTGGCTTTGGTCCTAACTGTTTAAAGGTTTGACCAAATAGGGACTTGAGACGATTCTAACTGTTTAAATGTTTGATCGTTTAATTTATGGACCTCTCGTTCATGAAAGGAATCGAGAGGGGATTTTGGCTTTGGTCCTAACTGTTTAAAGGTTTGACCAAATGGGGACTTGAGATGATCCTAACTGTTTAAAGGTTTGATCGTTCAATTTGTGGACCTCTCGTTCATGGAAGGAATCGAGAGGGGATTTTGGCTTTGGTCCTAACTGTTTAAAGGTTTGACCAAATATGAGTTTTGTGAGGGAAGATTGATCTAAAGAAGTGATCGAATCTCATCTCAGCAAAAGAGTATTCAGAAATCACTGTGGGGATGTAGTGTTTATCACTTTGTTTGTAATGATCGGGTTATCCCTAAGAAAATTACATATAGCATTCTTCCGAGAACTTCCCGTTACATGAACCATCCACCCCCAGCTTCCTTCGCGAAACTGGGTCTAACATCATGTTGAGTTACATGACCGGGTTATCCTTAAGAATATGTAAAAATTCTCAAGGAACTTCCCGTCAAGAGTGGGAAACAGTTTAGACTCATATACCTATTAGAGTATTGAGGAGCAGTTTATACTCGTATACTTTTTGGAGTTAGGAGAAACAGTTTATACTCGTGCACCCAATGGAGTTGAGTTGTCTTTACTTGGCATGTTTCGTCGTTATGACGCCGGAGTCAATTAAGGCTTGGATTTTGTTTTTGAGTCCGAAGCAAATCTCGGTGACGCCGGAGTCAATTAAGGCTTGGATTTTGTTTTTGAGTCCGAAGCAAATCTCGGTGGGATGAAGAATCCTTCTGTGGTACGATTAAGGCTTGGATTTTGTTTTTGAGTCCGAAGCAAATCTCGGTGGGATGAAGAATCCTTCTGTGGTACACACAGTAGTTTGGATCCGTAATCCTCTTAGCTCCTTCCTGATCTTTAATAGGTGGTAGATCGATTTTGTCATTGGCGAGGAGGTATTTCAATATGGCTGGAGCTTCATCATTTTCGAAAGAATACTCCTTTTTAAACTTCGGATCGAGAGTCGCGTTCTCAGTGATTGTAGATGTCGTCGGTCGGATTCTCTCAGCTTTCTTTCTTTTAAGAAAGTGTTCAGCTTGTTCGCCGCGTATTTTCAAATCTTTCCAAGTTTTGGATGGTACGACCCCCAGGGCTTCCAGGACATCGATGGAGAGATTATTGTGGCATGTTTGCAGGATGAACTCCTCTGTAACAGGATCTCTGCAATTCATTACCTTGTTATGGAAAAGCTTGACAAAATTGTCGACTGACTCTCCGTCTTTTTGCTTCTCATCCAAAAGGGTTCTGATTGACACTTCGGTGTCCTTATCGAAGAAATTGCTGAGGAATAAACTTTCTATGTCATCCCAGCAATTTATGCTCTCTGGCCTGAGACGTCGGTACCAATCGAAGGCAGGCCCACGAAGGGTGCCAACGAATGACCGGACCATTAAAGCCTTATTTCCAGAGATCATGCCCAAATGAGACTTGAAATAAATCAAGTGCTGAGTAGGCGAGCTCTTCCCATCAAATGGTGTGAAGTTAATCAGATTGAACTTTGCCGGGTACGGTATTGAATCTCATTCTCTTGGATAGGGATACGGAATACCCGTCTTGTTTACTTCCTGAGCGGACATCAAGGTATTGACTTTGTTTTCAAGGTCTTGTATTTTTTTGTCCTCATCTTCATCTCTTTTTGAGTGATGTTGAGCAGAAATAATTGGGCCACCCCCAGTGTTATTAAGCGGTGCAATTGAACCACCCCCAATATTGTTATTGGGAGGATCTGTTGAACCACCCCCAGTGTTATTGTCATTAGGAGGTGTATAGGCCATAATAACTTTATCCACTTCTGGATCACTGTCATGTACAACATTCTTAGTGTGGCGGTTAGATTCAGCTCACTCACTGGACTCAGTAGGTTAAGGCCGTTGGCTAGCAATTCTCTCATTTATTGGATAGCC